TTTTATAAGGCAAAGGACACAGTCAACAAAACAAAACGGCAACCCACATAATGGGAAAAGATCTTCACCAGTTCCACATCTGACAGAGGGATAATTTCCAAAATATACAAAGAACTCAAGAAGCCAGTCACCAAAACACCAAACAATTCAATTATAAAGTGGGGTTCAGAGCTAAATAGAGAATTCTCAATAGAGAAATCTAAAATGGCTGAAAAACACTTAAGAACATGTTCAACATCCCTAGCCATTAGGGAAATACAAATCAAAACGACTCTGAGATATCATCTTACTCCTGTCAGAATGGCTAAAATCAAAAACACCAATGATGGTTTATGCTGGAGAGGATGTGGAGAAAGGGAAACACTCCTCCACTGCTAGTGGGAGTGCAAACTTGTGTGGCCACTTTGGAAATCAGTATGGCGGTTTTTCAGGAAAACGGGAATTAGTCTATCTCATGATCCAGCAATTCCACTCTTGGGCATATACTCAAGGATGCACATTCATACAACAAGGACATATGTTCAACTATGTTCATAGCAGCATTGTTTGTAATAGCCAGAACCTGAAAGCAACCTAGATGCCCCTCAACTGAAGAATGGATGGAGAAAATATGGTTCATTTACACAATAGAGTATTACTCCGGGGGTGGGGGGTTAAGGACAAACCATCCTGAGTGAGATAACTCAGTCACTTAAAGACAAGCACGGTATACACTCACTCATATATGGATATTAGACACAGAGCAAAGGACTACCAGCCTACAATCCACACCACCAGAGAAACTAGGAAACAAGGAAGACCCTAAGAGAAAAATACATGCCCCCCCCAAAGAAGGGGAAATGGACAAGATCTCCTGTGCAAATTGGAAGCACAGGGAGAAAGGGAGGGAGGTAGGAGAAGAAGGGCAGAAGTAGAGTGGGAAGGAGAACAAGAGGGATCAGGAAGACTGAGACAGGAGGGATAGAGGAGAGCAAGAAAAGAAACACCTTAATAGAGTGAGCCAGTATAGGTTTAAAGAGAAATCTGGCACTAGAGAAATATTCAGAGATCCACATAGATGACTCCCAACTAAGAATATAAGCAGTAGTGGAGAGGCTACCTTTGATGCCCTCACCCTATAATAAGGTTGATGACTACCTTAATTGCCCATCCTAGAGCCTTCATCCAGTAGCTGATGGAAGCACAAGCAGGCACCCAAAGCTAAGTACTGAGCCATACTCCTGGAATCCAGTTGCAGAGAGGGAGGAGGGATGAGCAAAGGAGTCAAGACCATGCTGGAGAAGCCCACAGAAACAGCTGCCATGACCTAGTGAGAGAATATGGACCCTAGTTGTAAATCTGGGGAACCAGCATTGAACTGAACCAAACCCTGTGAATGTGGGTGTCAGTTAGGAGGCCTGGGCAATCTATGACACCTCTAACAGTGGAACCAGTATTTATCCCTAGTGCACAAATGGACTTCAGTAGCCCATTCCCTATGGAAGGATACTATTTCAGCCCAGACACATGGAGGAGGGCCTAGGGAGAGGGAAAGGAGGTGATATGTAAAATGATTGTTTCTAAATTAAAAAAAACAAAGGGATGGGGGGCAGGAAGAGGGGAAGAGAGAGGAACCTGCTGAGATGGAGGAGATGCCAGGCTGCTGAGCCTGACTGCCCACAGTTCCAAAGCAGTGATCACATCTCTTTGTACCCAGTCGTCCCTGACCTCAGCAGCTGTCTCTTCCTGCCAAGATGGTCCCTGCCCAGTAGGACAGTCCATGGCTGCCAATGTGCCAGATTGTTTCCCCTGCCCAGCTCTCAGTGTGGGTAGCCACAAGAGTGAATCACTTCTAGGGAAAAGAACTGACATGGATGGAATTTGCCTGAATGTCCAACATTGCCCAGCCATGACCAGAAGGTCACAGGGTGACTTTCAGTCTGAGAACTGGGCTGTTATGGTGACAACTGGCAGAGCTAAATGGCCGTGTTCTGAGAGAGCATGTCTCAGTTCTGTCCAAGATTACAGGAGGAGCTGGGGACACAGGAGCATCCTGAAGTCTGTGACTGTGTAACGCACAGTTGAACAAATCTTTCACTGAGATCGGAGTTGAATATAAGCCCCTGAACTCCCAGTGTGCCCTTCCAGTCATGGCTTATACCTGTACTGCTTTCCAACACATGGCCTCCTCTACTAAGTGTAACACATCCTGGGGACTCCTGAGCAACCATCCCCCTGGACTAAATACAGAGCTCTTGCAAAAAGTTCCGGTGCCTCCCTGAAGCTTCACACACTTCTGTGACAAGTGGGTAGACCTAAGAAAATTTCCCAGGTATGTCCATCCTTTCAAAGTTTTGACTCAGTGTTTTCGTCTACAAAATTCATGTGGGAGAATCACACAAGTTACGAATAAATAGCAAGCTTGCATTTTGAGTGTTGTGATTTGAATGTGAAATGTCCCCCGTAGACACATGTGTTTCAGTGTTCTGGTCTCACCTTTTGAGGCTGCTTAGGAAAATTGTGGGACCTTTAAGAATTAGAGCCTTGTTGAAGGAAGTGGGGTTCAGGAATTGAGATTGTATAGCCAAACCTTACTTCCTATTCACCTTCCACTTTCTGTCTGGAGAGGCAATATGGCCAGCCTGCTTCCCACTCCTTCTGCCTGCCACCGTAATGTGTAGTTTTCCCTGCCATCCTCCTGAGCCCTGTCTGAACCTCCAAATAACACACAAGACACTATATTAATTGTGAAGCTGTTAGCCATTTGCCTGGTTTCTTATCATCTAGGTCTGACTTGATTATTAACCCATAATTATTCATATATATTTTATAAGAACTTATCTTTGCTAGGGAGCATTCCTGCTGCGTCCATTCCTCCTGAGAGTCACATGGTGACCAGTTCCTTCACTACATTTCCCAGAATCCTCCCAGACTCCTAGTCCCACCTATCTTGCTTCCCTATTGGCCAACATTGCTTTATTGACATATACACAGGACTCTCCCATCATGCCATGTCTTCCCCATCATGCGGGATGTGTCTCCTCCAACTGTAAGCCAGGAAAGAAAATTCTTCCTTCCTTAAATTACTTATTGTCAGGCATTTTGTGATAGTAATGAAAAAAAGGATTAATACAGTAAGTTAATGATTTTGATGTGGGCTGTATCCATAGCTATATCCTTGGCCACATGGAGCTGGCTGTGGGTTGAACATATCTGTTAGTGGGTTCGTCTGCCCAATGTTCAAGACTAGGAAAACAAAACAGGACATGCAGGACTGGATAGGTGACAGATTTGACCTTCACAAGGTAAAACTAGATAAGAGGAGAGAGGTCCATCTGGGTTGCCTTTGGACCAGGACTTATGCAGTTCCTGTGAAGCTACAGTATGTATCCAAATAAAGCTATAGGAACTGTGGAGGATGAGAGAGTATGCAAGAGGCATGGAGAGAGAGAAACTGACAAGGACTTCTGGGCTAGAAACCAAACTTTCCAGAACATTACTGATGTGTCCAGACCAGAGATTGAATTTCTTGTCTGCTTACTTTCATGGTACATCCCTGAGACTCTGACAAAAGATTGGGCTGTATCATAGATCCCACAAAATTTAGGAGGGGTGCCATTGGTTATGCACAGGGTTACTATGGAAACCATCTGGTTGTATTCTTCTGAGCCACGTGTCTCCAAACAGTGTTTTTATTTAGATGATCTCTCCCCAGATGTCACAGATCAGCAAGCATAACCTTCAAGAAAAGCAACAGAGAGACAAATAATAATAACCAGACTCTTGGCTGGGTTGGGTATTTGGTGTGATCAGGGAGGGCAGGTATCCACTGTAGTTACCAGAAAGCTCACCCCTAACGTATCCCAGAAGTCCTGATCATAAGGAGGAGCACTGCAAGGCAGCTAGGCAGGAGGTGAGGCTGGAGTTCAGAGTATAAGGTATAAAGCATGAAAGTCCATGCTGAGCAGAGAATAGTGCCCAGGGTGGAAAGCCTTGACTTTCTCCTCTGCTCTGCTGTTCAAAGGTCACGTCCCACCTTAACATCAGAGTACATGATCCAACAGGGAAGGAGATGTGCACTGTAAAATGGGGGGTTTTCATGAAAATTCTGGAAGCTTCCTAGACAATACCAGGTTCTTCAAGGGTCAAAAGGCCCACCAAGGCATACAGGGATCACAGCTTATAAAAATCCAAGCTTGGTTAATGCTACTCTGTCATCTTGAGAAATGCTAAGAGTTGATGCTGTGGTTTCGCATGTGCTAGGCGAGTGCTCTACTCCTATGCTGTATATCCCTGGGTCTCTTCTTGTTTCTTCTTTATTTGGAAACAAGATATTACTAAAGTTATTCCAGCTGTCCTTGAATACAATTTATAACACAGGTAAACCTTGAACATGTGGTCCTCCTGTCTCAGCCTGCACCCCAAGACCTGGCTTGAAATTCTTACTAATGTTGCAATAAAGGGATTCGCATTCTCATTTTTCTGTATCTTTTCAATGCCCTTCACAAGCGAATTATTTGACTGATTATCCTACATACATGGCTCCTTTATTAAATCCAGGGTCTCTTCCTCATAACCAAACCATAAGCCTAAGAATCTTTCAGTAATTGTTTACTAATCCTGTGTTTTGGGTATTCAGTAGATGCCCAATAAACTCACATTCCTAGAATTTTCAAATGTCTCTGTTTGCACATTAATCCATTCAACAAACATTCACAAAAGAGGGGGGAAAATCTACCCATAAAATTATTTGAATTAAAAGGTTAACAGCAGGGCTCAGCAATGAATTCCAATACAAGGCTTTCATCAGAGTTGGACTTGGTTTTCAACATCCAGTCATACAGGTAAAACCATGACTTCAATGTGACTGAATTTTAAAGAAGAAAAGCAAGACAGTATTTATGTGGCTGTCTCATCCAAGCTCAAACACAAGCTTTAGTTCCCATTATCTGCTCTCACGGGAACCCTGCTTGAGTTGGAGAATATGAATGCTTGACTGCCTCCTATTTCTCTCTTGACAGGCGTGAGTAACACCGAGGCCCGGCAGCCAGGAAAGTCTCCCCACTTCAGTGCCAACTGGATCGTGGGCAGTGCAGACCTGGAGATCATTAATGCCACAACTGGCAAGAGGAGCTGTGGGGGCTCATCCCGGCTCTGCAAGCACGTGTTTTCTGCTCGGTGGGCACGGCTGCATGGTAGGGTAGGTCGCACCGGTCCTTTCTGGGAAGAAAACTAGCTGTGCCTGGGCTCTGGTTAGAACCCTGGGAAGCTCTGGGGAAATGGGAAATCATTTAGTCAGCACTAACTATGAGACAGGACATGTAAACTGATCCCCACAGGGTTACTGCCCTTTCTCCAACTAACTGCCCAGCAATTTCCTCTATGCACTTTAGAATTTTGCTACCCAAATGTGGTCCTCAGAGCTTGTGGACTGTGTCTTTGTGAAGTCAAGCAACAAAAGAGCTTTTTGTTGAACCAGCTAATGCCACCAGGCACTGTGCCAGTTGGTTTACAAAGCATGTCATAAGAAAGGTACATAAAGCAGCTGGAGAGAAGACTCCGTAGTTAAGTGTACTTGTTCCTCTAGGAGAGACCAGGGTTCAGTTTCTGAAGTCTCGTGGCCACACACAATTTTCTGTAGCTCCAGTTTCAGGGGATCCACTGCCCTCTTCTGGTGTCTGCTGGCACTGCACACATGTGGTGCAAATGTATACACCCAAACCCACACATATACACATAAAATAAAATAATATAATAAATCTGTTTTAAGATATTAAAAAGAGAAAAAGAATTTAACATCATCCCAACTTCAGATACAAAGAAATCACTCCTCAGAAAGTACATAAGGGCTGGCAAGGTGGCTTAAATGGACAAAAGCATTTGCCACCTACCTTGAGGACCCAAGTTCAGTCCTCAAGACCTACATGGTAAAAGAAGAGAACTAACTCTTGAAACCTGGCTTCTGACTCCCAAATGCATGTTGTGTCATGAACATACACACACACACACACACACACACACACACACACACACGGGAGGGAGGGAGAGAAGAAGGGAGGGAGGGAGAGGGAGGAAAGAAGGGCAGCAGGGGAGGAGGAAGGAAGAAAGGGAATAAGGTGATTCCTCACTAAATTTCAGTGGTGACTGTCAGAATTAACATTTTCCCCAACCCAGAAGGCTGTCCATTTCTACTACAGCAATGTTTCAGAATCTGCTTTCCATTCATAAATAGATAATAACTACATTTGGGGTGGTTAAAACTCAAATGTAGGCTTTTACGTACTTTGAAAGCATAGCCAACTATAATAAAATAAAGATAAAAGATAAGTTAATGAAGAAAAGGTATTTTGTTCATTTTTTTGTATTGGTACACAGCTCAGGCAAAGAAACCCTTGCTATGAAAGCATGGGGACTTGAGTTAAAGCCCCAGAGACTATGCGAAAACACCGGGCATGGTGGCCTATTAGCCCCCAAACTGAGGGAGGCAGAGACAGGCAGATTCCTGGGGCTAGCTATCCACCAACCTAGCCTAATCAGCAAGCTCTTGGCCACCGAGAGAGCCTGTCTTAGAGAAGGAGTGGGGAACAAAGTTGGCAGCTTCTGAAGAACATCACTCCTGAGATTGACCTCAGGTCTCCATGCACACCTGCACACATATGTGCACCCATATGACATGCACACCCAGTAATAGTGTTTGGATTGGTATATCAACCAGTAGAACAACAGATATACAAACAAACATTTTTGTCTACTCACAGAATGTTGAACATTGCAGTCATCTAAGAGTATCTAAGAGTTTGGCAGCAACCTTCTGCCTCTGCCACAAACAAGCAGATGTGGATTACGACACCATATGCTCCAGTTTTGCTTACAACTCTGCCTCTGTCATGCCTACTCTGACCCCTTCACCCATGTCTCACCTCTTCCAAAGACACTGGAAGGTCTGGGGGAGCACAGCTCTTCTTGTCTTGCTGAACAAATAGGTGCTTTTCTTGTTTACATGATCATGGTTTCATTGGCCACAAACCACAAACCCCCTGGGAAGACCCTGCAGTGTTATTTGAAGCTCCCCTACCAAAGGTCTGCCCTCTGCCTTTCTGTCCTTCTGTTGGGGGACCGAAGACACAGATGAATATGTTCTCCCTGCCTTACATTGCTCCAACTTTTGCCTCCTATGACTCAGAAATGCAATAACATCCAACTTTTACTGCCTTTCTAGTTAACTAGCAACATAACTAAGCCCCTCCTCCCTCCTGTCTGCCATGGTGCACTTAGCACACAACCCTGCCCTGGTAATCCTTCTCCAAAAGGAATATAAAAAGCAATGGTTTTGTTATCGGTGCTGTTTTGTTTCTTTCTGCGGTTCTCTAAGTTTTTGGTTTTTTTTTTTTGAGTCAGTATCTTCCTATATATCCCAGGCTGGCCTTAAACACACAGCAGTCCTTTTTATTCAATCTCTAAAGTAACAGGATTATAGGTGTGTGTCATCACACTCAGCTAAGAAATCAGTGTTAAATTCTTAATAGGAGGTGAGCCATATGTCATGTTGTACATTAGTTAGTCACCTGCACTTCTGATGAGGCAAAGTATCCTTAACAATGGGGTTTGTCACAGAATTTTCCAGTAGAACTCAGATAACTGCACTTCAGCCTGTTTTTTATATGTATTTGTGTATGTTTGTTTATACATACAGGAGGGAGGGTGCATGTGCACATGAGTTTGGAGGCCAAAATGTCAATGCTGAGTGCCTTTCCAGTTGCTTCTCATTAGTTTCTGATACAGGTTCTCTCACTGAACTTGAAATTTGACAACTGGTCAGACTAGCTAGCCAGCAAATCTCAGTCAGTCGCCTGTCTTTACCTCCCCATTACTGGGATTACAGGTATGAACCAACACATGCAACTTTGGACATGGATTCTAGGGATCTAATGCAAGTCATCAAGTTTGAGAACCAGGCACTTTACCAAGAGAGCCACCTCCTCAGGCCCTGCCACTGTACTGTCAAAGGAGAAGGAGATGCCACGGGTTGAAATCAAGTGGTATTTTGCTTGTGGAACTCTTCATGTTACTGTGACCGGTTGAATTCTCTTCCTCCTTTTTTCCACAGCTAAGCACTCGGATCCCCAGTCATGGAGACACACCGTCCATGTACTGTGAGGCCAAGCTGGGGGCTCACACCTACCAGTCTGTTAAACAGCAACTCTTCAAGGCTTTTCAGAAAGCTGGTCTTGGCACCTGGGTGAGAAAACCACCAGAGCAAGATCAGTTTCTACTAAGTCTCTAAGTCACTAGACTCCTTTGCTATTGGACCAGAGTGAAGCTTCTGGACAGGATGCAGCCGTGTGACGGAGTGGTGTGTCCATTGATTCTTGACATTTGTTCTCCTTTGGTGTTCAGAAATCCATGCATTTATGTTTGGATGAGAGACTATATTTGAGTTTGGGTCATGCTGCTTCTTCCTGGGTTGTTAGTTCCAAGAACTCTGTCCACAAAGCTAGAGGCAAAGCACTATTGCATCAGTCCCATCCCTTACTGAGTATCAAAAGGAATAATCTGTTCAGGCAAAGGAATCTTAGAAGCAAAATTGAAAAGTGCTACTGAAGTATAGCCTCATACACTGTCCTCTGTGCTTCCTTCCCCTTCGTGGGCCTCTCCAGTGGTGTGATTAAGTCTCACCCACACAAGTTTATGTGACTTCAGGATAAGCCACAGGTGAAAAGAAAAGCCATGGGCTCCCCAACCCCAAAGAACTCAACAGGAATGCTATATTGTTTTCATTATTCATTCAGTCCTTTCCACCTTCTTCCAAAAAGGACTTGAGATGGACACTGTTAAAGAGCAACTAAAGTAAATGAAAACCATGTTTATGACACAAAGAGATAGTTACCTTAGACACAAAAGAATCATGACCTGTGATCTAAGAGAACTGCTTTTAAACTGCCCAATGGTAGAATGTTTCAAACAAACCCAGGCCTATCCACTTGATCACAATCTTTTCATTGATTTTTGTAGATAATGACAGCCATGAAAGTGAGAATTATAGAATGGCTAGCTACGACCCAATAATCTCTATATTAGGTAATAGTAATGAAACTGAGTCTTAGATCAAATTCTGAATTTTTAAATGGATTTTTATTATAAATAAAGCACACACATACATAAAACACTCAACAAAACCTTTAGGTTTGTGGAGCTACTTGCTCTCTGTCACTTTAGGTTCCTTAATCATCATCTTGCATGAATAAAATAATAATAATTGTAACAATAATAGTGATGGCTTAACTGTCAAATTAAAGACAATGAGCATCAAAGTTCATGGCTAGACATAGATCAGTTTACTATTTATCTTATATCATCATCCCTAAGCAGTGAAGATACAGGCAAAGGAAGACATGACACTAATATAGTTTTAGTCAGCCCATGTTCCTTGAATTAATTTTTTCCATTTGGAGCTCATTTCTAACATTCATCAAACTAGTTAACATGTGTATAATCTTTTTTAAATCCCATCTGGTGGGATGTAGAGATTGCTCAGAAGTTAAATGAACTTGGTACTCCTAGAGAGGACTCTTGTTCAATTCCCAGCACCCACGTGGCAGCTTACAACCATTCATAACTCCAGCTCCAGCAGTTACAACACCTTCTTCTGGCCTTTGAGGGTTCCATGCACCCATGAAGTACATATATGTACATGTGGGAAAACTACCATATACATAAAATAAAAATTAGTAAATCCTTTTTAATACCATGTGAACTGCATTATTTTTTGTTTTGTTTTGTTTTAAAAATTGTAGAAGGAACTACTTCTAGAACAGGGGATTCCTGGTTAGAATTCCCTCTCATCAATAATCAATAAAAATTCAATTATATCATGATGTACATATTCTGACATATATTGCAGGGGTCATAGGAATGAGGCAAACATGAAATACATTGAATTGTAGCTATCTGATAGAATAAAAAGAAAAGGGGAGATATTAATTCCTTTGATTTATTATGAGACCACATTTATCACTAAAGTCCTTTGAGAAAAGAATATGAACACCATTGTAAAAACATTTCAAGATACCCTTTCAAAGACATGCAAATGTTTTGAAAATAAATGATTTATATTAATCTTTAATAAATACTGAGGAAAATGGAATCTTCACTCAGTGTAAAGGCTATGTAGTAATCTCTGATAACTTGATGTATAATTAGGAGAAAGGTTAGAAACGCAGGAAACCTTGGGAGCTGAGTTGTGGCTTAGATGTCTTTCAGTCACTAGGTACAGTTACTTCCTGGCTGAAATCTAAGACCCTCCCTCAAATCATTTGTATTCTGAAGGGTGGAATGGAGAATGCAGAACACTTTCCATATCAGAGTGCTCCAAACAATGTTGTTGGTTATAAAAAGATTGGCATTAGCTGCAGGGCCTTAAATGTCTCCATCATGTGATGGAAAAAGGAAGAATGGGACACCTTTCAAGTATTCTCAGTAAATACCACCACTTTGGCCTGTCAGAGACATAGAAAGAAGCTGCTTACCCAGCAGTGAACACCATCATATTCATACATTGCTGGTCTAAGGTTATGAACACGGTGTCTAAGTTACTGATTTTCCAGAAACAACCCAAACTTTCCTAAAGATATCTCCTGAAAAAGAAAAACCATCAATTGAATTCATTCTCCCCCTTAGCACTAAAGTAGAAATCCACACATTTATTTCAATTATATGAATGTGTGTTGGTATGTGCATGTGTGTGCAGGTGCCTACAGGAGGCTGAAGAGGGTGACTGAAGCACTGGAGTTAGAGTTACAGGCAGTTTTGAGACACCCTATGTGGGTGCTGGGAATCAAACTTGGGTCCTCTGGAAGATGCTCTTAAACACTGAGCAAACTCTCCAGCCCTGAGTATCACTATTAAGACAACAGGCGATTCCTAGAGAGGAGAGCTAGGGGATACACATATGTCTATAGCAGTAGAAGATGTTTCTAATGCTACATATGTGATTTTAATAGTTTTTTAATAGTTGACTATCTTGCAAGATCCTTGTCAAAGTGAGTGTGAAATAAGAGGGAGATGGGAGGAAGAAATCAGAGGGTCCCTGAATCTGTTCAATGAATAGAGAATTGCTGAAATTATCTAAAGTGAACCCTGCCACATGCTGAGAAGCAGAGGTCATGAAAGTCAATCTTCGAGAAACAGGAAAAAACAAAGAGGCATTATGAGGAAAGAATGAAAGACCTGTTTCATTTATTATCTAGAGCAGACAGGTAGCCACATCAGGATTTCACACTTACACCATACTGGGACATATACGTGCTGCCCCAGATCTACAGAAACCCACCTACTCTAGAAGTAGCTGGTCACAGGATCTGGTGTACATGGAATAAACCCTGGAAGAGTGAGTAGCAAAAGCCTAAGGGTTTTTCTCACCTTGGTATCCACAAAAGCATCTCAACCTTACTTTAGGCTGCCCTGCATTTTAACTACTGAATTAGTGTCTTGGGAGCAGCTCAGAAAAGCCCCATCTGAAATTTCTATAAGAATGAAACACAAATAGGTCATATTTATCTTTTCATCACCTTGGAAACAAATACAGTAGAACTAATCTAAAAGAATATAGTTAGAATATAAAGAGGGCCTGCAGGTATCTTAGCCACCAGGGCTGTTGCTTGTCCACCTGATTTATGCCAAAACTACCCCCTATCTTTCTATGATCTTTACACATTTTGTTTCCAAATCTTCTGTATTGACACCCATTGAGTCTCACTCTTAGTCCAAATAGAAATCAGCATCATCTTCATCTGCCTCTAACACACTTTGCTTTCCTATTGTGGAGATAAGCAATTTAAGGCTTCCTGCCTGGTTCTCAGTCAAAAAGCCGGTGTCTGTTCATTTGTGAACCTTTGCAAGGATTGAGCCCCATGGTAAAGTCCACGAGGACACAGAAGCTCTGCTCATCCACCTCCAGCAAAAGATTTCAAAACAATGTATAATATCAAGTTACTGAAGTTAGGATATCTTTGGATTTTGTTTTTTGCCCGGGAAAAGATTTGCAAGTCTCTGGCAATTGCTTTCTTTTGACTTCTGAGATCCTCTTTAACCTGTATATATCTATAATGTCACTATTGATTTTGTGGTGTCTTGTTGTCTCTCACAAATGTCAGGCTAGGTTACTTTTCCAAAAGATGCATAGCTCATATTTTTTCCATATAGTTTCCTTTTCACAGGATGGTTCTTACCAATAAATTTAAATGTTTTTGTATAGTATTTACCATATTTGATGAGCCATACATAGTAAATACATAGTATATCAATGCCCAGAATAGAATAGTTGCAGTATTTTGATGAAATCCTATTTTTAGATTATAAATTTCAAGCTGAGTCTATAGTATCTTGTTTAAAAAATTTAAAAGACAACTGAAATTTAAATAGAGTAGACTTTTTATTTAGGGAAACTTCTATGATCATTTTTAAGAAGCCATTCTAATAAAATGACCTAATTGGCCCAAAAGATAATAAATATCAGTTTCTCATAGAAGCCAAAGGAAATTTAGAAAATTTCTTTCTTTTTATGTACTACCAGTTGACTGCTGTGACCACTTTTTCTGGCCAAAGTCTCAGCATTCAGCAAAGCCTGTTTATCCATCACTCTTGTCTAGGACAATTTTCAGAATTCACAGTCTTGTATAGGGATATGCTGAACATTTTGAAGAACTATCCCAGTTTTGAATGTTTGCAGAGTTCATGAAGGAGTAGAGAATGCAAAGTACTGCCCCAGGAAAGGGTATAACACCAAGAATCAACCTTTATCTGGGCATGGGGGAAAGAAGTGATATAATGTTGTTAGGGATGACATGGGTAGGGCCGTACAAGTGGGGATTGGGGTATTTCTATGGATGGATTTGAAAATGTTGGGCCCATGGTGCTGTCCGTGGTTCTGACTCATCGTTAAACATGGAAACACAACTATTTCTGGGAACACTAGGGTATCAGTGGCTCTTGTAAAAGTTCTTTCACAAAGTTTGAATCAGATAAGTGATGGTGGAGCAATAAGAAAACGAAAAAAAATGGCATAGATGGAGGCCACCAGAGAGATGTCATGGAGAGCAGAGCATTGTCCCATGTAGTTTCTCCAACCCCAAGTCTGAGGAACCAGAAAATGGGGTTTTTCATTCTCCCAGCAATGCTACTTCTTTAGATTCTTTTCTCATCCCTCCAGGGCTCCCCCCAACACCACATTCCTATTGTTTGTGCTTCCCTCCTACTAAACTTCCACTCTCTTTTTTCTGGTCCCCCGGTATACCTGAGAGGAATGAAGTAGCAGGCAAATTGGTGCTCACAGTCGGGAGGGAAGCTCACTATGTGTTCATGTGGTAGCATGACTACAGGGATTTACAGTGATCATTCTGGACTCCCAAAGCATGTCCATTTCAGCTGACCTCCAACAAAAGAATCACAGATGACCACATCTCAAGAAATTTAAACCAAATGATATCACCCCTTCAGGGAAATGTACAGTATAAACCTGGAGAAAATACCACCTTATTTCCCAACTCATCAGTTTTTAAAAGGTTTGGAGAAATGATGTACCATTTTAAAAATAAATATAAACTTATCTGGATTCTAGTGCCTCTTTCACATGGGTACCCGATTTCTATCACCTGGAAGTCTGTGAATCGGTTTAATCAAATCTTTCCAAGTGGTGCCCAGCTAATTTTCAGCACTTTTTAAGTAAAATGAAGTTAAAAATAGTCATTCTTCGTTGATGGTATGTACATTAAAAAGCATGATCGAATGGCAATATTGTATCAATGGATGTATATTTGTAATATTTGTAAAATAAAATCCAAACCCTTACAATATGAATTTACATATGTTAATTTGCCTCTTCTGAGTTCTGTAAATTGCACTTTGGTGATACCAGATAAGTGAATGTTTCTCTTAAGTGAATAAAAATATTAAGTAAAGTTGTTCTTTCTTGGGTTGTCTAGCCTTTTTCATCAAGCTGTGTATTAGTAAGGCCTGAGAATATAGAATATTTGCTCTAAACCCTTTTCCTTCTAATAATAATGTCAGTTATCAGAATATGTCAGAGTAACAATTACTAGCTCAGATATTGCCCTTTTAGAGTTTGTGTAATCAAACTAATTAAACTGTCATGGAACTAGGAATGAAAATACTTGTCAAGCCTTGAGACAATGACTCATTTTACCTATGTGAAATGGAGTGAGCATCTTCATGCGAGACACTGAGCCTCCATTTTCTCACTGTTGAGTGTTGGAAACAAGACATATCTACAATTTCACAGGATGCCCCAGGGAAGTCAAAGACGCAATGTGTGCTCAGTTCTCCATACAAATTCCCCACAGTAGATGAAGTATGGCAGAGATTGACAATTGTACTACTGAACACTGATCCTAATGGACACCAGGGTATAAATAAGCCTGAAACTTCATTTGGGGATGTTTACAGCCTCAACTCTAACTCTGCATGGACTGAAGTTCAATCTATCCCAATAGCACATCTTGCTTCTTTTCAAAGACATAAGCTTGGACACAAATATATTCAGAAAGGGATATTACTAATGAGAAGAACTTCAATTTTCTCCATTACCCTAGGTATAGATGAAAATTAAAAGTATGCTGAACAGAGGTCTCCTATACTATCATTTGAAAGACTGAGAAATATCTTTTGTTTCTAAGTATTCTTACCTTAGAATGTATCTGAAATTCAACTACATATGCCCATTAATCTGGAGTAAGGATTTCTTCCGGTTTTTTTGCAGTCTATATTTATTTTACATTAGCAAAAGTAATCATAAAAGCACATGATATGGTAGGCAAAAGTGGAGGTGGGGTCTGAAAAGATTATGAGAAGACTGGAATCCTCCATTCTCAATTTAGTATCTAAATAGCTTCTCGGTGTGTGTGTGTGTGTGTGTGTGTGTGTGTGTGTGTGTTACATGAATGTACATATGCATACCCGTGTTCAAATGAATATGGGCACAAAGCATTCAGGTGCATGTGTAGGCCACAGGTTGATATTGGATGTCTTCCTTGATCATAAACCATTTTATTTATCAAAACAGTGTCTCTCACTGAATCTGGAGCCCATAAATTTGGCTAGAGTAAGTACCATCTTTTCACAGAGATCCTTTGCTTCACCTTCTGGGGCTGGAATTACAAGTGGGCCACCACATCCACCTGGTTAGTTACCCCTAGTGGAGGGAATAATAAGAGAGTAGGAATACTAGTAGGAAATAAAGGATACCACCTGAGGGCTAGAGATATAGTTCAGATGTAGAACTCTTACCTAGTATGTATAAGGTTTAATGCCCACTACAAAATCTGCACTGGAGAAATGCTCAGTGGTTAAAATCTCTAGCTGCTTTTTCAGAGGACCAAGGTTCAATTCCCAGCACATATGGGGCAGCTCATGACCATCTATAGTTCTGTTTCCAGGGAATCTGATGCCCTCTGCTGGCCTCTGAGGGTACAGAGCATGCATGTGATGCATAGCCATATGTGTGAACAAAACCCTGTTCTCATATAGTAAAACAGATAGTAAAATAAAAAGGTAAACATGATGGCTCACACCTATAATCCAACACTAAAGAAGCTGAGGCAAGAGAATTGTCATACATTTTCATACAGCGGGGGCTACATAGTGACCATTTGTCTCAAAAACAAACAAAAGAAAGGAAAGGGTGTTTGAAAGCGTGGCTCAGAGGTGTTCAAGGTACTTCTCAAGTGCTCCTGAAGTCACACTGTTGGCATTAGCCAGCTTCAGGAACTTGAGCATCAGCTGGTGGCAGGAACTATTTCTTAGCTACAGCAGAGACTGGTCTCTGAACTAACATATATTACCTCCCAGAAGTGACTTTGAGCCCTGCTACCCACTGCTCAATATTGCTCACAGCAGAGCCCTATTACAGAGGCAGGGGGAAATCTATCATGTTTGGAAATGAGTGGTCAGGGCCTTGGTAACCTCTTTAAATGGTTTTACATACATGCCCAAAGCATTCTTCAAGTCAGTCAGGGCCCTGCCTGCCCTAGCCTGGAGCAGAGACATCTTTCTTGTGGCATTTTTCTTTCTTGTTGAGTTTTTTTTAAAGCACGGAACATGAAGTGTATGATATATTGTCTTAGTAAAAGGTTTCAGATAAGCGTCTGTTCCCAAGGAAAAGACTTAGAATCTACTCCTACTCTTAAAATGTGATCAGTACACATGAAGGTTGAAGGACAAAATGGCCACAGCCATGGATGTTAAACCCTGTGATTGATCACACCCTTGTCTACTTTGGAGCTATTAAATCAAGTTCCCAGAGTTACATTTAAAATGATGACATAAATACACTCTTTCCAGTGAGGTTCAGAAAGCCACCATCCTTAAAGGGCCAGCTTTATGGGAAAGACACACTGAAGATGAAGTACAGAGGAGGCGAGGATGCAGCTGGTCTGCTGGTGCGCTTAAGAAGTAAAGTCGTGTTGAAGACAGAAGGGTGATGCCACCCTTGGCTGTGTATTGAACTTGAGACCCACCTTGGCCAGAGACCTTGTCTCAACAAGAAAGAAGATGAAGTTTGAGTAGAGCCAAAAATGATAATAGTAGTGATGGGTAAGTACTAACTTACCTCAAAGCCATCATACTCAGCTCCCTACTCTTTCATTAAAATTTATTGACTAAACTTAAAATTGAATTCAGAAGAAAATTCAGTGGTGTGCCTGTGTGTGAACGTTTGTGTGTGTGTGTGTGCACATGCATGCGCGTGCACACGCGTGTGCATATAGAAGTCAGAAATCAACCTTGGGTGTCATTTTTTAGTAATTGTATACTGTTTTTGAGGTAGGGTCTCTCTCTAATCTGGAGCTCTCCAAGAAAGCTATCGTGTCTAGCCAGTGAGCCCAGTGGTCCACATATCTCTCTCTCCCCCCAGTGCTGAAACTATCAGAGTATGCTACCAATGCCTGGCTTTTGTTTTTATGTGCTGCTAGGGATGGAACTCAGGTATTCATGCTTACAAAGTACTGACTGAGCTACCCCAGGCCCTAACATTGCTGTTTTTGAACACAACCCCTTTACTTGTTCAGAGCTTAGGTTGGCTGCAGAATTTTTTCAAATGTCTGGCCCTCATTATTAGAAAACAAATGTCATGAACTCTTCAACAAGAGCTGGGTTTGCTTCTTTGGGGAAGTGGGCTCAAGTGACAGAATGGAAATGTGATGTCCTTCAGAGCCATACAAATGGATTTCTAGTGCTGTCTGTGTTGTCAGTCAGTTCTGTGACTCTGTCAAGTTGCATTTCTCTTTCAGGGACTGTACCTGCGCTTTAGCAGGTAGCTCAGGTGAACAACTTTCCTTTATCTACAGCAACACTTAAAGATATCATGATATCTTAATGGCAAGAGCTTATTAGTCCCCAAGAGGTGGGAAATATTGGCGAACAGACAGGACTTTAACTCACAGAAGGTAATGATTTATCCCATAGAAGAACAAGATGATGTAATTTTTCAAGTCTAAGAGAAAAAAAATTGTCATAAGGGTGATTGGTCAAGGATAGAGCTCAGTGGCAGAGCACTTGCCTAGAGAAGCATAAAGAAAATGGCCAATCATGTAAAATTAATTCATAAAACTAAGAGTACAAAAACTTAGGTCAATTATTTATAACCAATAGAATACATGTGAGTGTTAAAGGTGTCATTAGGCATTTTGAGATAGTGAAGTAGAGTGAGAATACAAGACCATGAAGACAGTAACTATGAGTGGTTCATTAAGATTTCACTAAAACAAAAACAAGACAGAGTAGTATACCAAAGGAGACTAGTCAATGGGAGGAATGTTCACAGGTAGAGTGTACTCAGTGTCAAGTGCAGAGTACTCAGTGAGAGAATCTGCCAGGGACAATCAGGACCATCCAGGAACAGTACAGGCAGGAAGAAACCTCCAGTATGACCTTGTTCCCACTGCTGCTCTGGACCAACCTCATCTTAGGCACAAGCCAGATGTCATTGGAAAGTCTTATAAAAGGGTCTTGGCCAGTATGGAATCTCTACTAAAATCCTGATTTAAGGCTTATGGCTTTGTTCTAATTCTTTGCTAATGCATCCTCAATGCTTCACATGTAGCTTGTGTTTAATAATTATGTGTAAATAAATGAATCGTACATGGGAGTTTCTGTTCTGCCCAATTCAACAGCTGTTTAGTCCCAAATAAACACACAGAGGATATATATTAATCATAAACTGTTTGGCCAATGACTCGGACTTCTTATTGGCTAGCTCTCTCTTAATTATTAACCCATTTCTATTAATCTATGTATTTTCACGTGGCCTGGGAAGATTCCCAGGCCTCTTTCTTCCTCAGCAACTGCACAGCATCTCTCTCGAAACTCACTCTCTGAGTTCTCCTACTCTGGTAGCCCCACTTATACTTCTTCCCTTGCTAAATCCTGCCTGTTCGTTGGCTGAAACAACTTTATTCATCAATCAATAAGAGAACCATATAATCACAGCACACAGAAGGACATCCCCCATCAGTGAATGAATATGTATTTCCATTGATTAAGAAGGGCACAAAATGGTGGGTAGCATAGGAAAAAGATGAGCAAAACCAAGAGAAACTTTTCAGGCACTCACCACAAATGCAAGCATTACTACCTAGTCATTTTGACTTTTCTAAGCTGGAAAGTGCTCCAAGATTCAGCGCTAAGCAAGTCTAAAAATGTTTCCACCATCTTTTCCTCTGAAACCATGACCTAAAACTGGAAATGCTCAGAAATGTACTCCTAATGTGCATACTCAATAATATGCCTGACCCTAACACATACACACCAAGAAGGGAGGAAGGGATGTACCCATGCACGCACACACGAACACATAGGCTTCTAAACCAAGTCCCCATGCTTCCTTTGCTCAGGAAAGTCATTGTTTGGACACAACACCCATATTCTCCTTACCTGCTGCAGGTTT